TTAACCCTTTTACACATTATGTTATTCACTGGGTTTTAGCTCACTGCTCATACATATATGTAGGTGTACAGGCACCGGACCGTTGCTAGAAGCGTCAGGGTAAACTCCAGTTTTGTCAAAGCCAACCACTGTGCCTCACTGCGAGGTTCCAAGTCCTTCAAGTCAGGGCTTTTGGGGTGCTTTAGTTTCCCCCTTTTTTTGTATCCGTTTGTAAATTACTGTATAGACTGAATGGTTGTACTGTACTACTTTAAATAGGGATTAAGTCCCTGTCCTGAATGATTATATATATTGTATATACTGTTTTGGTACTAATTGTATATGTGTATATGATATGAAAAGTCTTTTTGCATATGGACTGTCGCAGCTCGTTGGACATATTTTAATTACTGTATTGGCTTCCGCCAGCCCCTGTACTTTGAATTACTGTTTTACTGTTAAGCAGGCCTTTGGTAATCTCGGATTACTGGCCGTTTACAGTGCTAAACCCATAGGGGCAGGTTTGGGTCGTGACAAATGTATTTTTTCGTCCATCATTGATGGCCTGCCAGCCACTGTGACCAAAAACAGATTTTTTGCAGATATTTTCCTCCAACTGTTTCCACAAAGCTCCACCTGTCTCTATATAGATATTTTGACTTAAGGCTCTTGTTTTCTATATATAGAGGACATTCTCTCTTGGTTTAAAGGTTAGAAAAACTTTGGGAGCAAAAAAATCCTCTCTCTACAATTTTCTCTCTCTATAATTCTCTCTCTCTCTCTTTCAACTTGCATAGCCTTTGCCTAAACACTCTAAACCAAACCTAGAGAACTTCTTGCTAAAATTATTTGAGCTTGGAATTGAGCTTTTGAAGAACTTGAGAGTGTGAAATTGGTGGTTTGTAACTTAAGGATTCAATCATCTTCAAGAGGTATACTTTCTCTGGCTTTTGTACCATCTTTACACCACTTGATTTCCATATTTTCTATTGATTTTTAAGCTGTTTAAAACTTGTATTTTTGGGCTAAAACTTGTGGTTTAAAGCCATTAAAGGTTGAGGGTGGTTCACCCTTCTTTACACCTTGTTCTCAAGGCCTTTGCCCTTGTGTTTCCCACTTTGTTGTCAACTCTTTTTTGAGCTTTTTAATACTAAATTTCAAAGTTATTTCTGTGGCTAAAATCATGTTTTGAAGTTCAAAAACGGAGTGGGTAGCCTTCCCTCCTTAAGCTTTGTTTACTAGCTTAACATGCTCCATGTTTTAGCTTATTGTTTTAGCTACTTTTGTCTTCATTCCAGAACATTTTTGTACTATTTTTGGACTATTTAAACTCTGTATTTTTGGCCTAAAACCTGTGGTTGAAGGCCAATAACGGTTGAGGGGTGGTTCACCTTTCTTTACACATTGCTTATAAGGCTTTTCCACCTTTTTTTCCCACCTTCAAACTATCTTTGTTTGGGCTTTTGAACATTGAATTTCAAAGTATTTTCAGGGGTAAAAATCATATTTTGAAGTTCAAAATTGGAGAGGTTAGCCTCCCCGCCTCGTGTCTTGTTTGCTAGCCTAGATAGCTCTTTGTGTTAGCATATTTTTCTAGCCTTTTGTAGCTTAATTCCAGCATGTTTTAGGCTCTATTTTGGACTGTTTTAACTCTATTTTTGGCTGGTTATTGTATTTGAGTCTTGTTTTGCATGCTTGTAGTGTAAGTATCCTCACAAGCTTAGTGTTTTAGGCCTTTAAACAACACTTGTTTGAGTTAATTGCATGTTTTAATGCTTTTCTCACTTAATTTCAGTAAGTATAACCTCTGCAACCTCCCTCATTTCTTAACTTTTAATTTTCTTTGAGGGTTGTTTCAACCTTAAGATAGTTTAAGCTTGAGATTGAGATCCATGCTTAATGGTTTAATCCTCTTTTGGAGGTTCATTACCAACGGCATGACACCTCTCTCTTGCCTTAAACACTTCCTTCTTTTTAGAGGACTTCTTACCAATGGACTTAATTGGTTAATGAATGGTTGCTAAGTTAAAATGAGTAAACAAAAAATGGAAACTAAAATTGTGAAAGATAAGATTTTGGTTGTGTTTTGGTGCGTTCAATCGAACGTTAATTGAACACAAGGAAGATTAGGGCATTTCATATTCAAAGTGATGAAATGTGCCAATTTTTCTAAGGTCTCCATTGCCCTTGATCATGCATGATAGGGTGATGGCTTTTGGTCTTTTTTGTGCATTTATTGGACTTGTACACATTGGTTCCTTAGCCATCATGCAATGAAATTGCTTGATTGATGGTTTGAGGACCAAGTGTATCACTTCTTTGAGATGTTTTGATGATAAGGAGGGATACACAGTACAAACAACTTGTGAGAATACCCTTTTTTAGCCCTGTTTGCTCTCTGTTGCAACATGAAATTGTGCATCACCAGTGGCCGGCTGGCCACTGTTACTAGCCAGCAGGCCATCATTGTTGGACAACAACCCCCCACTAGTGGCTGGCCGGCCAGGCCACCACTTCTGGCCTGCCGACCACCAATGAATTTTGGGCAGTATGCTTGTGAAGAATGGCAGAGTTTAGCTTAGTTGTAGCGAATTGGTTTGTGATGTAATATTTAATTAGCTTAGATAGTTAGTTAATTATCCATTCAAGTTTTGTAATAATTAGCTTAATTATCTTAGCTTAAGTAGCTTAGTTAGCTAGTTAGCTTAATTCATTCGGACTCTCCTTCATGTTGTAATAATGTGTATGTCTTCCAACCCCTCGTCTTTCTCCTTTTTATTTATCTGCTTTTGATGGTTAGATTTGGGGCATCACATTTCAATTAGCATATCGCATGTTTGCATCCATTCATTTTTCTTATATGCACGAGGCTCAGTTCATCATTCTAACTGCATTGTTGATTAAAAACATTCTTTGAATACGTGTTTAACCGCATATTATCCAATTGAATCACATGCCATATTAGTAGCCGAGCCTATTAATTGCATTTTTTGTATGTGTTGCATTAGTCATCTTGTATAGTTAGGAACATGCATTTTTCTAACTCTTTTGTTTTATCTTACCTTGGAGTACTAGGTGAGTTTTTAGCACTTTAACATACTTGCATGAGTGTGAGTGATTGCCATGTCTAGCATGCTTGCCATGAGGCTAAATGCTTACTTGTTAAACTGTTTGAATGCTTGTGGATGAAGGCTAATTGCTTGAATTAGAATAATTTGAGCAATGTTTATATGCGATCATTTTTTCAAGTGGTCCATATTTTGAAACAATTTTGCAAAACAAACATGAAATTGAATTGTTCCAATTTGGGCAAGCTAGTATATACTTGTGTGTGTGCGCATCACATAGTAAATGCTAGCCTAATAAAACCGGAACAAGAGCATATAATGTAAATAAGATTCATATCATGATTAGTAGAGGCCGATCTTTCATCGGGCGAGTGGGGGTGCTCAAATGTATTCATGACCTTCCCCTCTCGTACCCAAGTTCTTGAACCGAGGAAACTTTGGTGATGACAAACACGTGGCCTTTGGCACAAGTCATGGGTTTCTTAAATTTTTCCAAAATAAAATATTTAGGTAGCGACTCTGTATCTGGCAAAGCAGTCCATTTTTGTCAATTTGATTAAGAATCGATTTTCCAAAAGATTTGTCGAATTTGGACTTTTTGGTGTTTATCAGTTTCACATTGCACTTGTGAGGTTAGATTCAGAACCGCTAGAGTCTAAACTGTAAGGCTTATTTCGAACTTCCGAAAGGGGGCGTGAAAAAGTCGAGCTACAGTTCCATATGTCGAGGTTCCAGATTTATGACGATAAGTCCAATCCAAACTTTCACATCGGCTTATATCTAAATTCAATGGCTTTGTATACCGGGAACGAACAGTTGCTGTGCAAAGTGTTTCCCTCATCCTTTGGAGAGATCGCATTCGATTGGTTTCACAAGTTACCAAAAGGAACTGTGAAGAGTTGGGAAGGCCTAGCCAAGATATTTGTGTCTAGGTTTGTTACAAACAAGTTGCAACCACTAAGGGAAGACTCCCTGATGGCTCTGAAAATTAGCAAGGGTGAAAGCCTCAAGGCTTATGCCAAAAGGTATTTTAAGGTGTTCAACCGAATACCGAGATTCAACCAGAAGTTGGCGGTTATGTCTTTAAAAAATGGCCTGGAGGATGAATGCCCGTTTCGGAAGTCGTAGGAAAAAACTCTACCAAAGAGTATAGAGGAGCTCATGGCACAGATCGAGAAATATGCCAAAGCAGAAGAGGATACGTCGGGAATGAATATGCCAAAGCAGGGGAAGAGAAACGGCTCGCCGAAGTGAGGTCGAGGTAATACTGGTTTTAACAAGTAGGAAACAAGGCTGAGGGCCGCACAGGTAGTCACCACTGTGTTCCGGATCCCGATTTATAAAGTTCTAGAAAGGATCACGAACCAACCGTATTATAGAGCGTCGGAGAAGGTCCCTGACGAATTTATGGGAAGGAGCCTTAGGAAGCACTATGCCTACCATAATGAGGATGGGCACTTGACTCAGGGATGTAGAGCTCTGAAGACGCACTTAGAGGATCTGACCAGACAGGGCCATCTGTGAGACCTAGTAGATAAGGCCAGAACAATAGAAGAACAGGTAAGGCTTCCCCAAGCACCAACGGCACCACCACCACCGCCACCACCACAGCAAGCAAAACCTCAGGTGATCAATGTGATTCATTTGAAGGTTAATGAGAATGATATGCGAGGAGAGACCCAAAAGGTAAGGCACTTACAGCACGTGTATCAGGTCCAGCAAAAGTGGCCCAAGACAAACGAGTACCAGGGACCAATGATGTCCTTTACTGAGGCAGACCTAGACATGGTGCAGCATCCACACAACGATGCTCTGGTAGTGACCCTCAATATTAGAGAATGCCAAGTAAGGTGCATTCTGATTGGCCAAGGCAGCTCTTGTGACATCATATATGTCAGATGTTACAAGGAGCTTGGCCTTCACCGAGAAGATTTAGAGCAGTCAGACATCCCAATGGTTGGGTTCAATAGAACGCCGACATGGCCTCTGGGAGCCATAAATTTGGAGGTGCAGGCAGGCCCTAGAAATGTTAGCATAGAATTTAGGGTAATTGATTACTCCTCCCCGTACAATGCTATATTGGGAAGACCGTGGCTGCACGCAATGAGGGCTATTCCCTCAACACTACACCAATTGTTACGATTTCCAACTGAACAATGGATTGAGGAAGTCAGAGGGGATCAAGTGCAGGCAAAGAATTGCTCCATGACAGTAATGAAATCCAACTGTAATGTACGAGAGGCAAAAAAGGTGGAAATCAAGGACAAGGACATGGAAGTCCTAGATGATGTCGGCAATGAACTAGCCAAGAAGAGCGAGGAAGCCTTGAAGAAAATTCTGGTCCAAGAAGGGGATGAAGAGCGCTTCTTCCTTCTTAGCTCAGGCCTAACCAAGGAGGAGGAAAAGGAGTTAGAGGCTTTCCTACGGGCCAACATAGAAGTATTTTCCTGGACACCATATGAGATGCCAGGCATTGACCCCGAGGTCACATGCCATATGCTCAATGTCGACAGATTGGCTAAACCTGTCATTCAGTGGGCAGGGAGGCCGACATTGATTCATGTAGAGGCAGTAGAGGAGGAAGTAGACAAGCTGTTGGAAGCCAATGCTATTCGGGAGGTGAACTACCTAATTTGGTTGTCCAACATAGTAGTTGTGAAAAAGAAGAATGGAAGGTGGAGGGTCTACGTGGACTTCACCAACCTGAATAAGGCTTGTCCTAAAGACAGCTTCCCTCTGGCTAAAATTGATCAGCTGGTGGATGCTACTTCAGGGCATGGGAGGATGAGCTTCCTGAATACTTACAAGGGATACCACCAGATAGCAATATATCCCCCTGACGAGGAGAAGACTGCATTTATCACTCCAAAAGGGTTGTACTACTACAGAGTGATGCCTTTTTGGTTGAAAAATATAGGAGCAACCTACCAGAGGTTGGTGACCAAGATGTTCATACATTTCATTGGCAAAACAATAGAAATGTACATTGATGACATGATCGTGAAGACTAAAGAACCTGGGAATCATTTAGCCGACTTGAAAACAGTTTTTGATATCCTCAAAACCTATCGGCTCCGACTCAATGCTTCGAAATGTGCATTTAGAGTCAGGTCTGGTAAGTTCCTGGGATACTTGGTCACCAGAAAGGGCATTGAGGCAAGCCCAGATCAAATCAAGGTCGTCCTTGATTTAAAAAGTCCAACATCAGCCAAGCAAGTCCAAATTTTGACTGACAAGGCAGCAGCCCTAAACAGGTTTATCAGCCGAAATTATGATAAGTGTAAACCATTTAGTTTGTTAAAAGAGGACACATATTTTTTGTGGATGGAAGAGTGCGAAGTCACCCTAGCCGACTTGAAAAAGTACCTGACAACAGCTCCAGTTCTATCAAATCCAGTACCTGGAGAAGAATTGTTCCTATACTTGGCAGTTTTAAAACACATAGTAAGCACAGTAATAATCCGAGAGGACGAAAGAGAACATAAGACAGTATACTATGTAAGTAAGACCCTAGCAGGTGTAGAAACCAGGTACCTGGCCTTAAAGAAACTAACACTAGCCCTGGTGATGGCTTCGAAAAATTGAATCACTACTTCCAAGCCCACAAGATTGTGGTGCTAACTAAGCATCCTTTGAAGTTCCTATTGCAGCAGGGAGATCTGATAGGCAAGGTAGCCAGATAGAAAGTATTGTTGGGCCAATATGACTTGGAATTTAGGCCCAGAACAACAATTAAGGGCCAGGTTCTGGCTAATTTTGTGGCCGAGTTCACCCTTGGTGCCATCCCGCATTGGACTCCGATGAGCCGCGGCTTGGGATGCCCAGGGGAGCAGGAAGAAACCCAACTGGGGCCCAAGAACCCCACTCTAGCAAAACAGAAGAAAGAAGAGAAACCAAAGCCCTGCGACATCTACATCGGTGACTTCATCTGCCTGTTTGTTGATGGAAGTTCAAACCGTCAAGAAGCGGGGGCAGGAGTAGTGTTAGTATCACTAAATGGGCAAATGTTAGAGCAGTCTATTTGTTTGAGGTTCAAGGCCTCAAACAATGAAGCAGAGTATGAGGCACTAATTGCAAGGTTGAAGTTAAAAGCAGCAATGGAAGCCGATGAGGTGGTAGTCTTCTGCGACTCTCAACTTATTGTGAATCAAGCAACAAGCAAGTATGTAGCCCAAGATGAAAGAATAATAGCCTATGTCAAAGAGGTTGTCAAGTTGCTCACACTGTTCTATAATTGCCGACTACAGTAGGTTAGCCAAGATGACAACAGTTACGCCGATGCCTTCGCCAACCTGGCTAGTGCAATGAAATCAGGTGAGGCAAGGACAATAATGGTTGATTATTTGTCAGACCCAAGTGTAGATCACAGAGTACGAAGCAATATGTGTGGAGATGGGACCAAGCTGGATGGATGCAATGGTAATGTTCCTCATGGATGGCAAGCTGCCAGATGACAGAAAAGAGGCGCACAAGACAAGATTGAGGTCAGCCAGGTTTAGCCTAATAGCAGAAGGCCATCTCTACAAAAGGTCCTTTACCGGGCCCCTTTTGAGATGTGTGCATCCCTCCCAGGTTGAGGACTTTTTGTATGAAATTCATGAAGATGTATGTGGAAGCCATGCTATAGACAGATCACTTGCTCAACGAGCCATCACTCAAGGGTACTGGTGGCCCTACATGCAAAAGGATGTTGAAGCCTATGTTGGAAAGTGCGAGAACTGTCAAAAGTTTGCACCTTTGATACATTAACCAGCAGCAGATTTGAACCCAGTATCCAACCCTTGGCCATTTTCCCAGTAAGGCATGGACCTAGTGGGACCACTGCTACAGGCAACCGAACAAAGAAAGTTCTTGCTAGTAGTCACAGACTACTTTACAAAATGGGTAGAGGCTGAACCCCTTACAAAGATTCGAGATATTGATATGAAGAACTTCATATGGAAGGACATCATCACCAAGTTTGGGATCCAAGGGCAATAATAGCAGGTAATGGTATACAGTTTGACAGTAAGCTAATCAAAAATTTCTGTGCAAAATACAAAATGAAGAACTATTACTCTGCTCCAAGTTTCTCTCAGAGCAATAGTCAGGCAGAAGCATCCAATAAGACTATCTTGGATGGGATCAAGAAGAGGCTGGAAGTAGTGAAAGGGAAGTAGGTGGAAGAATTGCCTAATGTGCTATTGGCATATCGAACTACGCCGAGAAGATCAACTGGGGAGTCTCCTTTTGCCATAGCTTATGGCACTGAAGCAGTTATCTCACTAGAAGTTAGCATCCCTGGAATCAGAACCCAGAGAGTGAAAGATGGGACCAATGAGGCATTCTTAGCCCGAGATATGGATTTATTGAAAGAAAGAAGGGAGAGAGTTGCAGTTCGGCTGGGGGCATACCAGTAACAACTTGCTAGGGCTTACAACAAGAAGGTCAACCCAAGAGAGTTCAAGGTTAGTGTAAACACCCCATTTTTGACCGCCCTTACTACTTGGACCTCACTACTTGCGCACCCAATGATGAGTGTATATGCTTGATAAGTGCTCGAAGTCCTCAGTGGAATGCCACAGCTTTGAGCTTTCAAACCTTTCACCATTGTTGCCTTGTTTTTTGACCAAAACCAGAGATTTTCAAGCCTGCAACCTTTTGTGGCCTACCGGCCCCTTTTATTGGCTGTCGGCCATTGCTTATGGTTGCAGGCCACTAATGTGTGTAGACATCCCCGAACGCCCCGGGAGGGAACGAGTCCCCCGTTCCGTTCGATATTGGGCTCACTATAGTTCAGGACTCTCAAATTGTCACGGTTCTAAGTCTGAACCAAAGAGTCCAAATCCAGCAAATCGTTTTGAGAAAACAGATTTTGAAAGAAGTGCCAAACATGGACTGCTTTGCCAGATACAGAGTCACCACCTAAATATTTTATTTTGGGGAAATTTAGGAAACCCTGACTCGTTTGCCTAAGGCCACGTGTCCGTCATCACCAAAGTTGCCTCCGCTCGGGAACTTGGGTACGATTGGGGAAGGTCACTTCGTGAGCACCCCTGCTCGCCTAATCAAAGATCGGCATCTACTAACCATGATATCTATTTTTGAAAACATTATGCGTTCTTATTCCGGTTATTAGCCTAGATTTACTATGTGATGCGCACAACATACAAGTATAGACTGGATCGTCTGAATTGGAACAAAACATTTCATGTTTATTTTTTTAAAGTGGTTTGATGGTGCTACCCGCAAGTAGGCTAAGACGTGGATTTGCCACCCTCGGGTGGGCTTAGAAAAACATGATTTTGCCATCTATCTTAGTTGGGCTTAAAACACACATTTGATAAATTGTTCCCATTCAAATAACCCAACCTTCATCCACAAGCATTCAGGCAATTATATCACATAAGCATATAGCCTCATGGTAAGCATGCTATTCATGGCAGTCACTCACACGCATGCAAGGATGCTAAAGCATAAAACTTACCGAGTACTCCAAGCCAAAACAGAAGCTAATTAGAAATCCATGCATGATCCTAATTATACGGAAATGCCTAATGCAACACATGCAAAAATGCAACTATAGCAGGCTCGGCTATTCTAAACATGGCATATGAAATGCTACAGCTGACATGTATTCAACTTGGAATTGAAAATACAATGCAGTTAGTATGATGCGCCGAGCCCGATGCATGCAAAACAGATGAATGAATGCAAACATGCTATCATACTGTATGCTAATTAGAAACATGCCCTAATCTAACCATCATAAGCGGGTAAATAAAAGGGAGAAAGACGTGAGGTTGGAAGACATACATCACACACACGCACACTTATTACAACATTGCCCTCGCGCAGAGGGTCCGAATAAATAATATACAGTCCCAAATGAATAATACAGTCTGAATAAGTACAAAACCCTAATTAATTTACAAATTTAACTAGGAAAGTAATAAATTGGCATGCAAGCCAGGGACTGCCTTAACTCTAATTCGGATGATGAACGATGCATGTTCGGGTTGCCTTGCGCGGAAATCCATTGCGATGCCCCAATTAGCCTCTATTTGCAATTGTTCTTGGGATGCGTGCCAAGCTCCGGAAGGCTGCTGACTCTTGATTTGTTGTAACAGAGAGCAAGAAAGGGACATGGCAAAGTATTTTCACATATGTATGCATGACTACCCTTTAGGGAGTGTAGTCCTCGATCCTCGTGCCACCAATCACGCATATCGATGCATGATGGCCGAGGAGTCGAATTGTACGACTCAATATGAAATGAATGCACATATAAACACAACAAAACCTAAACTCCATCATGGATAATCCAGAGTGTCGGTGAGTGGAAATTGAGACACGTTCCGTCACTCGAAGTACGAAACGTACCTCGTTTTCCGTGCTCGGGCTAACTCCTATCCCAAGCACAATGCAGTATGCATGGCATGCATGAATGCAACTAAGCTACAACCTAACATGCACAATGCTATGAAATGGCATACACGATGCACGAAATAACATGGCATACACAATGCGCTAACATACAACCTAGCATACACAATGCTATGAAATGAAATGGCATACACAATGCACAAGGGACTTACACCAACATGAGTGGACCTCAGCCACACTCACATAGGAGGCCATTCGATGAAAATGAGACACTCGAGATGCGTGCACACGTGCACGCAAACCGAGGACCGATCCTAAGGCACCAAATGCCACTCTAACAAGACATGGCAGGGTATGGAATATGGCATACAAGCATGCAAATTTTAGTACCGAAATATGATGCAAAACAGCCCCGAAACATGGCAATATGGTACCCGATGCATGAAATGAGACCTGAAACATGAAATTAGGTACATGGAATGACCTATGGCTATGCAAAGCATGCATTATTCGAACATGAAGTGTGAAGACAGAATCAAGACAGTCCCAAAACAAACATATTTACAGTTTTAAGCAAGGCCAATAAGTGAACACAAATAGGGCTAAGTTAACATGCAAAAATGGCCCCAAAAGAGAGATAATGAAGCAAGTAGCATCCTCTGGCCCTAAATGGCCAAGAGCCCTTCAAAAAATTTGAAGAGGGGCTCAAAATGAAGCACTTTACAGTTTACAACAAGCCACTAAAACAAACACAAGTATGGCTAAACTATTGTGCAAGAAATGGGCCAAAAGGGAGACAAAGAAGCAAGTGATGGTTTCTGGCCTCAAAAAGAGGAGGGACCTCTAACAAAGTTGAAGAGGGGCCCAAAACATAGTATTTTAGAGTTAGTGACCAAACCCAAAACAGTGCACATGCAAGTCTAAAATACTATCCAAAATAAGGCCTAAAAAGAGGTTTAAACACAAAGAGCAAAAAGAGAGCTTCAACAGGCAAAAGTCCCTTGATAAAACATGAAGAGGGGGTTTAAATAAGGCTATTTACAGTTCGGACCAGAGCCCAAAAGTACAAGCACAAGGGGCTAACAAAACATGCAAAAATAATGCCAAAAGAGAGATAAAGAGGCAAGTGACAAAAGGAAGCCTCAAACAGTGAAGAGCCCTTCAACAATATTGAAGAAGGGCTCAAAATAAGCCACTTTTCAGTTCATAATCAAACTCAAAACAGTTTACAAATAGGCCTAAAATACTATGCAAGAAAGAGGCATACAAGAGAGGCAAAGAAGCAAGTGGTAGCTAGAGACCTTAAACATGGAAGGATCCTAAAAAAAACATGAAAAAGACCTCAAAATAATGCTATTTTCAGTTAGGGTCGGAGCCCAAATATGCAAGCAAGTATGGCTTAGAAAGCATGCAAAAGAAGCTCAAAAAGAGAAAAAGTATGGCTCACCCTTCTAGACCAAACTTTAACAGCCTCTTGGCTTGAGAAAAGGTGCTCCTTGCCTCTGGAAAATAGCTCCAAGTGGCTGGAATGGATGGTGGTGGTATGGTGCTAGGTGGTGGTGTAGAAATGGTGTAGGGTTTGGGAGATTTTGAGGGTTGGAGTGTAGAGAGAGAGAGATACAATGTGGGAGCCTCCAAGAAAATTTTGTAACCTTCTAAAATGCAGCTGGGGGTGCTGGATATATAGGCAAAAGATAGGGGAAAAAAGGGGGGGGAATAGAATTCAAGTTTCCCTCCAAAAGTTGGCCCCCCCGGATACACAATCTGGGGGAAAACAGAATACATTTCTGTAAAGTAGCTGGAGAGAGGATCATAGCCGGCCGGTTTCCTAGGGTTTAGGTGGCCGGTCGGCCAAGGGTCAAAAGGGTCAATGAAGATTAATGGTCGGCCATGCTAAAAAGAGGGCCTCTCATGTGTGCATAACACAACCACGTGGTCAAAAACTGGAGAAAGTAAACCAGGAGAGAGAAAAGCCCACTTTTATGAGGGGTTCAAAAGGGTCACACACAATTACTGGCCGGCCATATGATATTGGTGGCCTCCCAGGTGTGTACAACACAAATATGTGATTTGGGGCAAGAAAAAGTGGCCTTAGGGTGGTCAACATTGGCTCTCAAGTGAGAAAAACGGGCGACGGAGGGCGATGGAGGAATAAAACTGGTTGTCAGAACAATTACTGACCTCCCACCCTTCTACGACCTCTTTAGTAGTGAAACAGAGGTCCCTGCCAAAAATGAACTCAAACCGATGCAAAATGAAGGTTCGGGGGCCGAAACGCGCAGCCCGAGGCCCTAAAAACTGACTGTTAGGCACCGGAAGTGGTGTTCGACCATGAAGTTGGTCTCTCGAGCCACAGTGTCCCTCAAAAGGGAGCAAATAAAATG